TTTCTGGATGATGGATTCGTTCAAACTGTCCAAATGCCGACAGTACACACTTGAATTGATTGTTTGGTTCCTTGGTAGAAGTTCGAAAAACACGACACCTTTAAAATCCCACCACACTGAGAGCATAAACTTCCTCTGATGAATGTCTCTCTGTTTTCAATGTCGTTTGAGGCGAATCATCACATCGGGACCAAGACCGTTTGAGCACCACATTGTTGTAAACAATCCACTTCTCATCACCAGTTATCAGTCGCTTCAAAAAAGGATCGTTTTCGTTTTCCTCACGTTTAATGAGCATATTGCAGATGTTTATACGCGCCATCAAACAAACTTCTTTGAGTTCATGCGGAACCCAAATATCGAGCTTGCTTACGTATCCCAGCTTCTTCAGGTGGTCGTGAATGCTTGAATGATAGATGTTCAATGTTTCTGCAATCTCTTGTGTTATGTAACGTGGGTTTGATTCAATCAATGCCTTTATTTTGTCGTCATCAACCTTGGTGGGCCTCCTTGACTGAGGAGCGTCGTTGAGATCAAAATCATCAGCACGGAATTTTCATGAACCATCATTGGCACTGATGTTCTTCTAGAGCATGGTCACTGTAAACTTTATGCAACTTTTCACAAGCTTGACATGTGTTCTTCCCTTTATGGAAGTAAAACAGTAAAATATGGCAAAAATGCACAGTTTGGTCTTCCATCTTCAACTTGTAAAATCTCCAAAACTCAACCAAATCGCTCAATTTTTTTTAAATGAAGCTAGAACTGTCAGCTGTCAAATGACATAGCAATAACATAGGTGCGAATGACTGCAGTACTTCCAAAAATGAACTAGTGCCTTCTGTTGCAAACATGCATCACGACTTTTCCGACAACCCCATATATTACTGATCCGTTACCAACAGCACTGTAACTTATGCCTGAATGAACTGTACCTAACAACGAAGTTTCTGTGTGTGGCACACCAAAGCCTTCTTGCCATTAAGAACACTAGACAGCACTTCCAGCACTACAGTTGAGGGCCATTTTGAACAGCAAAATCACCGCCAAAAGGACAAAAATGCAAAAACATGGCATTGAATACACTCTGAGAAGAATCCTTGTTTAAGAGCTGAAACAAGAGGGCAGAACTATGCTTTGTTCAGCCTGAACATACCTGCCTACCCAGATCACCCTACATTAAAGCTCCGACTCCACAAGCTCCAAGACACTGAGGGCTCTTCATCACAAGCAGCCAGATTATGAGACATCCAAAGAATGCCTCTCACATGGAAGTTAGAGACCAGACAACAAAAAACTCAACTTAGAGAAAGCAGGTATTATGGAGGTGAGGGAAGAAAAATCTTAAAAATAAAAAATAAAAAACTATCATTAACATACCAGAGAAATGAGTTGCATCTATGACTCAAGAAGAGGATGTCATAAAATTTTTTACATTAAAAAAGGTTTCTATATAGCACTATAGTAGCTACATAGAAGCATAATTTTCAAAACAATCCCAATAGTTTATGATAAAATATTTCAACTATTCTATTTCTTTCAGCATAGAAAAGCAATTTTTAGTTTTATTTTCTTTGTTTGCTTCAAGCAGTAGCCCCTAAATGTGCAGCCCCAACATTAATAGAGAGTTCCAGAATAAAGGTTATATATTTGTACAAGGCAGCAGGTAATACATCATTTTGACTGCTCTTTTCAAAAGCATTAATGGAATAATGCAAATGAAAAGCTAGCTACCTGACAGCAAAAAAAATTTTAAGTGACTCAAGCCAACACCTAATTACTGACCAGTTTGAAACAAATATGATATATGTAAACTCATACATCATACTTTCAAACATGGGCCAGCAGCCATTAACCTTCAAGATGGGAGATGGGAAGCAACAAAAATATCAGAAATTATAATTTAAAAAAATTTACTTCTGGCTGAAATTAAAACAGCCACTGTATAAAAATTACATTTGTCTTTTGGAAATGGCCTAGACACTAGTTCCAACACTGCCATTAACAATCATATTTCACACTGAACTTTTCTAGGCTACAATGTCCTCTTAGGTAAAATATAACACTAAACTCAATGGATGGATGGTTTTCCAACTCTTGTTTGTTTTGTTGTTGTTGTTGTTGTCTTGTTTTTGTTTTTCTTTTAAAAGCTGACCTGCCCATTAAGGGGTACTGGGAAGGGGGGAAGGGTGCAGGATGAACCCCCTCCACTTCTCAGGCCTCCTCTTGGTGTTGCCCAACCCACTCCTCCAGTGACGGTCCCTGAGAGACTTTCATAGAACCTAGATAGATCTGAAGGTCTTTCCCAGAAATAAGATCCTAAGATTTGAAACATCTAATATCACATAAAGCAAATGGCTTATTTTCACTAAAACTCTCAGCACAAAAATTTAAAGAAATTTATTTTTCATTCACTTAGCAATTACTGATTACCTACAAAGTACCTAGCACCAAGCTAAATTCTGAGGACATAACAGGTTTTAATTTATACAATCATTTTTTCACTATTATTCTTCAAAAGCCTTTCTATTCCTTCTTGCAAATAAAAGAGAAATCGCCCTCAGTAAAGTCAGTTTCATTACTTTTTGTCCCTTAAAACTAGAAGAAAATGAAAATAACCAGTAGCCAAGTAATAGCAAATCCTACAGTTTAGGGTTATTTCCCAGTTGTGCTCTAATAAGAACTGAAACAGTCAATTATACAGTCAAATATACAGCAAATAAAAGATATCACATAAAAGAAGCAGATGTTGTATTTCACATTAAAATAAATTTCAAAAAACATTCAGTTTTACATAGAAACAAACACATTTATCCCTGGGTATGATATTTAAGTATACAAAATGTATTAGATGAATATAATAGTTTACACATAAATTTTAAAGATTAATTTATAAGAAAATGATTAAAAGGTTTCAGTGTGAGGCTAGAGAATATATTTATTTGTCATCTGTTATTGTTTTATTAAATACACATTTCTTTTAAAACAAAGATTTTCAAACTGCCAAGAAATATCCTAGCACTTCAGAAATATTTCTAAGAAACTATAAAGATATTGTAGAGGAACTCAAAAGCCAAATGAAGGGAATGAGAAAATTAGGAAAAAAATGGAGAGCGAAAAAGGAAAATTAATAAAAATAGCTCTGAGGTTATGGTTTTCTCTGACTATGTGAAGTAGTTAGTAAGTCAAAGTATGATAGTTATAAATAACTAATAACACAAAATAGACTTAAAAATACAAGATAACCTGCAAACAAAAAAGGTTACCTGTGTGTCAGTATAGGTCTAAACCAGGTTTCTCAACCTGACACTAATGACATTTGGGACCAGATAATTCTTTGTTGTAGGATACAGATCTACTCTCTACCAATGTCAGTAACAACCCTTCCAGTGTTCAGACAATGGCAAACGTCCCTGGAGGACAAAAATCACCTCTGGTTGAAAACCACAGGTCTAAACAACGGAAATGAACTGCTCAGAGCTCAATTAAAAGTCTGCTGTGTGAAAAATACAAGATACAATTCTGTTTGCTTTATAGAATGCCTAGCATATAACAAGCATTCAATAAATGTGTATCATTAAATAAAATTTTCCCTTTAAACTGACTGGATTAAGTATTTAATGACTTTCAAAGCTTTGAAAGTTTCAGCCCAGTCCCAGCTCAAATTTCTATTTATTACAAAGTGGAATAGAATAAAATTTACTATACATTTAATTTCTATACTCAAATGACCAGCCGTCACCACTCTCCCCTGAAAAAAGGCAGAGCCACTTAGGACAGCACAGTTTATGAAGGCCACATTAGGTTCTCCTTGCAAATGCTTCCTCCCACCCATCTTTTCATTTTTCAATGTTACCCTCTCACATGTATTTATTCAACAAATATACTCTAAACACCTACTACGTGCCAGCCAGCCGTGAGAGAGGTACTGAAAATGTAAAAGAGATATATAGACAAACGTATCTTCCCTCAAGGAACTAAAGGCCTACAAGTAAACAAATAGTTACAAAACCATGTGATAAACAGAAAGAAATGACAAGAAAGCAGACTATCTCCCCAAAGGATTTAGAGAAAGATGCTGACGCTGAACTAGGTTTTGTTTTTTGTTTTTGTTTGGGGGGCGGGGGAGGGGAGGGAGTATGCTAAAATTCAGAATTAAGCACTACAAACTTTCTTTAGATAATGTGTGATAGATCTTAAATTCAACATATACCTATTAGTGCAAAGTCTTGGCAGAAGAGGCTTCAATTATATCTAATATCTACATTTACCGGGACAAAATATTTTCTCAAGATTAAAGACATTTGTATCATTTTAAACCTGTTTTTTAAATGTTTAACTTAAGCCATAGAAAAGCACAAATAAAAGATGATAACCTATGATGTTTAGCAACATAATGTTAGCTACTAAGATCTAAAACTATGTGGAAATAATGTTTTAAAAAATAGTCTACAACAACATACAAAATTGAATTCTTCATTAAAAAGATATCCTTCAAAACATTTATTTTCTGCAATCATCAACATTTTAAACTACTTTGTTAAATATTTACAAGTAAAATTCATTTTGCTTTGGCTATTTTCTCAGTTATCAAGAACACAGTAATATTATCAAACTCTTTGTAGATACCCATCAGCTCTGATGTCAGACAATTTCATTCTCTTAACTTGTGCTTCCTCTACTGGTTTAAAAGTAGAACAACACAAAACTAAGCTTTGAATTCCACTGGTCAAACAGCAACTAAGTAAGTTTTTTTTTTTATTATTTAGGTTTATTTGTAATATTTTATAAAATTTATTTTCATCAGATTAACATCAGATTTTGGATCGACATCTGGAGATTATAAATCTTAGCCTGATTCTCTGAAATCTTAAAATATTATTTTCTCCTCTAAAGATTGAGAGTATACTTTAATGAGTATATCACATTTGTTATAATTGAAATTTTTCTATATAAATACAAAATATCCATTATTATACTAATCAATATAACAGACTTACAATGCTGTATATCTGTCCATTGCAGACTGCACGTCTCTACGGTAAACTGTGCGAAGAATGACCATGACGGGGTCAAACTCCTGATCCCAGACTTCAGCTATTATTCAAAAGAAAGTAGAAACAAAACACTGACTTCTTAAGAATAAAGTCAATCTCTAGCGACTAATTACATTTAAGTGTATTTTAAATTTAATATATGGGATAGTTTAATTTGATTGTATATTTGCCTTAATAAGCCTGATGTGGTGAATACTTTTCTAAGTTAAAAATCATAACTTCATCATTATGAATGTTCTCTTAGGTTCAGAAAGAACTAGTAAGCAAAAAGTTTTAGAATACAATGCCTCACAATAAAAGTTTAGTTCATTAGTGTTTTGTTTGTTTGTTTGTTTGTTTTTGTAAAGTGCCAACTAGAAAGTAAGAAACACAATGCATTAACACTTTTGAAAGTTGTTATGATATTGACATTTTGAAATTGATCGTTGATCTCCTCCTTACCTTCTCCATAACTAGGTACCACTATCTTGTGTGTGGTTGTATGTACAATTGGTGGTATACAAGATAATTTTAAGTATTAACTGTACAAATTATTTTAATAATTATATTAACATGTGTTAGAAAATTGTACATTGCAAATAAAGCCCGTTATCTCACTAATAAATCATGCTTAGGATGAGGCAAAGTTTAAAAAAATGAATCCATTTAAGACATACTAAGTATATAACAATAGAGATGGTATTTAGATGTGGTAAAAATCTACAACGTGACCTGAGAACAATAATTTTAGAAACTGCTGCCTCTTTCCTAGATTAAGTTCCTTCCCCCCTCTCATTCTCTCTAGCAGAATTCTTAACATTTGAAAACATGGTGAGAAGCTTAAGGTTCTCCCCATGCATCTACTGTACTATAATTTCAACTTTCTCGCATAAGAAACTATTAACAATTGTCTCTATGTTCATGTAACATGCTATTCACCTTAAATTATCATAAGTATGACCTAAGATCCTTAAGATAGGCCTATCACAAAGACAAAGAAAGGCTTTTGTAATTATTTCTATTATCCTTTACTGTCCTTCACTTTTAAATCTATTAATTTGTACAATTAAAATGCCAATGCTTTTATCAGAATTATAAAACCATAGCAATGGAAGAAAACTTTAGTGCTAGTCCAACAGGCTTCAAACAGTTTCCAGTGGAGCTGGATTTTCACGGAGGTTTAACAGGGCCCACGTTAGGAGCAAGGAGATGGCCAAACAGATGAGAAGCTATGTCCACTCCCTATACACACTTCAACTAGAGGAGGGCTGCTTTTATCAGTTTTGTGTGGCAGATTCACTTATGGCTTAGTTCCTCAAAATTAAAAAGGTTTATTTCAATCACTTTTGAAAAGCTTAAATACCACTCATCTATTCCAACTCTCATTTCAAAAATAACTCAAATCCAAAGATAAAAAACTGATTTTCTCTACATCACACAACTAGCTAATACAATGCAGTACTGTATTTAAATATGACACTCAATTTCTTAACTCTAATCTTCAAATGTCTTAGTGCCCCATCTCAGTGTCTCAAACTTTATTGTGCATGACAATCAACTTACAGGGCTTGTTAAAAAAGCATACTTCCAGAATCCATCCCCAGAGATCCTAAAGAGAGCAGACTGGGGCTGAGGCACAGGAACCTGAGTTTTTAATAAGGACCACGAGTGAGTCTGACACAGGTAATCCTCACATCACATTTCTATAAGCACTGCACCACACACGAACACCACTCAACTTGGAAGCTCATCTAAATTTTAGATACAAAGTGCTCTCTACAAAAAAGAAATAGTGTGCTTTTCCTTTAATGGAATACATTCCAACAGGAGACTGTCTGGACTCGTCTTGCTACTTTTGTGAACTCCCTGAAAAATCCCACATGATAAGGCTTATTTTTCTGTGTTTTACCAAACACAGTACATGTTATTTACAACTTCAAAGTGGGCATCGGTTTTCTATTTAGACAAGTGAGTGTTGAGGAGGTCAAGGAGCATGTACCTGTTACTTCCTTTAAAATTTTAACCTAGATTAGTGAAAATTTAAGAGTTAAGAAAAAAAGACTATGAATCAAGAATTTACCTAGTTCTGTCTCTTGTCAAACATATCATCTAAGGGGGATAAACCTTAGAAAACCAACCGCTTAAGGAAAAGGCTTTATATATTTACATAGGTTCAAAATGTAAGAAAATGTTTCAGGATTCTATGTAGATTTTAATATTAACTGTTTCAAATTAAAATTTGGGTAGTGAGAATAATTTCAAATCAAACTGAGAGAGCAAATGTATTCAAAATGTTTTTAAGTATAATTTGTGCTTCATTTATAGTTCATTCACATATAAAAATGAATTAGAGTTCATATATAAAGTTCCTTTTATAATCTAGAGTCATCTAAGAAGGCTTATTGTAACATAAAACCATAGATTTACAAATAAATAGAATATTGCTGTATACCATAAAAGACAAACATAATCTATAAGAAAGTTGGAAAGCAAAAAAACCAAAGCTAAGAATAAATCAAAGACAAAACATTTTCTTTCAGTATACAAACTCACCTTCGAATACTGATATTTGAATGAATGTCTATGTATATAAACGTACCTTTAGGAGTATACATGCCTTGTTGCATAGAACCTCCAGGTTCAAACACAGGAGCCTTAAAATCAGCTACAGCTGATAAAACTGATTCAAAGCTATAACTGCCTGGAATAATGCCACTTTTGGGATTTGGATTTTCTGGAATATGATGTATGTGTCAAGAAAAATATAATTAAAGACTAAAAGCCAGATTTATAATCTTACCAAGGTACTCTATCTAGTTTCTAACTACTTTTGCTAAAAAAGGCAGTGTGATTGGTTGTAATACATAAAGTCAGCCACAAGAGGGCTACATAGTACAACAGTTCAATAATAACTTTTTATTAATTGCAAATTTTTTAATACTTTTAATCTAGAAGCCTACTTATAAATTATATATTGAAGTAGCTCCCAAGTATATTTTCCCCAAAACAAATTAATCGAATTTCAATAAGCGAAAAAATAAATTTAAAAAAAATTAATTCCTATTGTCATCATTTTGCAAATAATGAATTTTCCCTTAGAAAATCAGAGAGTATGCTAAAAATTAACCAATATTTTTATGAGCAAAGATTGTTTTTCCAAAAACACAAAATGTCATCTTCAAAGAAAAAGAAAAAGATGCTAAGCAAATTTTTTTAAATGAAGAAACCAGAAAACCACAGATTCTTTCCTATTAGCTTCACATTAAAATATGTAATTCTTTAAAATTCAGAGTTACAGAGAATGCTTTTGCTGTGTTACAGCACTATACATAGTATACAATTTTTTTAAGAAATCATGGAATAATATCAAATTGATGCTGCTTATGAAAATCCAAGATTCAAACAGGCATTACAATAGAAGCTATTTTACAAAATTTCAGGAAATTATTCCAAAATATTCACAATATACAAACTAAACTTAGCCAAAAATTTGCAAAATAAATTATTATCACAAAGTAACATGATTGTCTTTATCTAACATTTTATTAACAATAATAAAGTGTCCACTACATGCTCAGTCCTATACAAAGAACTGTAAGTGTTCAAAGTTTGTAGACAATAGTCCTTGCACTTAAAAACCTCTTGGTTTTTTACTGGATTCTAAGAAAAAATCATCAGAATGTTTAAAATTCGGGTAATGATAATTATAAGGTATACCACTAAATTTTAACTATGAATTCCAGACAACCTATATGAAGTAGACCTAGCAGCCTTTTACAAAATGTCGAGCTTCCTTTCACTGACGTGGGCCTAGAAGGTCAGATCCTGGGCGCCCAAAGCCTTCGGTTCTGAGGTCTAATTGAGGTCTAACAAGAGCTTCCTGACAGCAGACAATCAGAGGCCAAAACATATGCCACTAGCCCTGAACACATAGTTGAACAGACAATTGGAATTCTTTTCCATACTATTTTTCAACTTCAAAAAAAAATTTTAATCAAAAGAGTGGTATGTCTTTAATTTGTAAAAATTACTTATTATTTAGATCCTGAAACTAACAGAAAATTAAACTTTTAAAAGGATATGAGGTCCAGCAATGAACTATGTGTTCTGTCATTCATACACAGCTGGGCTACCATCTCTGCCCTAAGAATCTCATCATCAGACATGCCTAAAATAATTAAAAACAGAATTAATAAATATTAATACATATAAATTATAAAGAAACAACTTACCTCACATTTTAAGCTGTTTTACCAAAACTGAGATGCTTTCAAGAATTAAAGAATGCAATGCCTCAAATATAACTGCAGTTTACTACCCTGAAGTTTGCAATTCCCTTAAGTCAAGGGTATTTTAAAGGATATTCTAAAAGAAGTATCAATTATACAACATATCAAGAGTTTGAAATACTGTTTAAATATATCCACATCATTTCCTTTTTTCCATAAGCCACTTACTAACACTGGGCGAGGGGAGGAAAAGGAGGAGAATAGGTAATACCCAAGCAAGCGTTATTAGTATGAGTGCTTTTTACCTAAATGTAAACGCAGACTCAAAAGAATCACAAGAAATGTAAGAGCGCCTTCTAACATCGATCTCTCATGCTCTGCATCAAGTACTATGTTTTGATGTTGCGAAGCCATTGTCAACAAATCCACTACCTTAAATCTGTAAGAAATATTGGAGACAGATTTAAGTTATAAACAAAATTAACTTAAATTCCAAATACTTCCTAATACTTGTCTTTAAAAAATTATGCTTACCTTTCAAAGACAGAAGAAATAAAATAATCTGGGTCAAGTCTAGAAGCACAAACCTTTAAAAGACAAAAAAAAAAAAACCCACAAACTTTATTTCTCAATTCAGTTTTACTTCTTATATTAATCATTTTTTTTAATTTTCTGAATCTTATGATGTTTTGACACCTTGGAAAGCCTTACAGACCCAGGAGAGACTACCCCTCTCAGGGCTAATTCCTAAAGATAGTAAACAATTTATCTGGGAAAAAGCCTCTTATATGCAAGTCAATTACCCCTTTATCTAACACTCACATACCAAGCCAGTATTCCCACTACCCTAAATCAATCCAGGATCAGGTATCAGATAGCTGGGGACAGACCCTATGCCCCAAAGCCAACCAGAATTATTCAAACTAGCCAATTCTGAAGTGTTTACCCTTGTCTTTCCTGTGGAAACCCCAATAAAGGTTCTGCTCTAGTAATTCCCCCCTTCTTGCTTCTGCCTCATGACCAAAATCTAATGCTTCCTCTGTGGTCCTGCGTGATGTGGCATACCCCCTTCTATTGGGAAGTGTAATAAATTCTTCTTTCAATAGCAATGATCTCTCTGTGTTATCGCTTAGCCACCTTTACAAATTAAAATCCTGGGGGTACAAATGAGACACTTCTAAAAGTGCATCTGCATTATCAAGCTGGCTTACCTGTAAGAGGTAAATGTCAGGATCAATCATGGAATTACAGAAATGAGACTGAACATAGGTCATGGCTTGTCCTTTGATCTGCAGACCATTTCTTACCCACATATTGCTGTGGATTTCAGCAAGACTTGCCTAGTAAAATAAAAATTACATAAACTGGACAAAGAAGTCACCTGAATTCAATCTTCATAATATCATGCTATATTGAACAATCATTTCAAAATATTTTATAGTTTAATTACAGTATGAGCCTGACATTCTGTCCATTGTTAGTTTAAGATACTCAAATCAAATATATACTTTAAGATTTTTAAGTGCTTTATATAGTCCCTTCTTTTGGAGTTTATATGTGAGTTAGTTTTCCATGATGACTCCTGGATAGAGTTATAGCAATTTTCACTGAAATCTTTCATGAGGAATCAGTGACACTTACATTTAATTCTCCTCCTCAAAAAAAGGCATACATAAAGCTTAAAGAAACACAGGAATAAGCATAAAACAAAGCTAAGTTTTCAAAGTCAATGAATACAACCTATATCTTTAATTCACCCCAACTCAACCTTCAATCCAAACTAGTCACTTTCCAAATAAGAAAGGTCAGAGAGGGTCAGATCAGAATAAGTTTTACTATGTTAATATTTAATTATTCATGTATTCATGCTCTGTATCAATAAAAGCTAAGCACAGTCATAACTTCATCTCCTACTTGTTCCTAACCCCCATAGTTAAAGTTTGAATAATGATTAACAAATCTAAAATTGCCAGAAAAACGAATTGAAGTGCAAATTCCTCTAATGTACATAAAAGGTTGGCCCACAAAATTACAGTGTTAGAGCTTAAAGAAACCACAGGGCTTACGAAGGCTAATTCTTCTCTCTTTTCTTTCCTCTCACTTTACAGATAGGGAAACTTCTTAGTTCAAGTAGGTGAATTACACCCAGAACAATGTGGATAATGAAACAGTGGTGGCACCAAGGCTAAACTCTATTAGGTCTCCTGACTCCCAAAACAATGCTGTAAAACTCCCCTATAAATAAATATAATGAAAAGAATTCCTGGAAAAATTATAACTAAATTTAAATTATTTATAACTAAATAATAATGGCAATAACATCAAACTAAGTTAAAAAATTTTTTTCAAACAATGATAAAGGTATAAAAATAAATTAAAGGAAGAATCAAATATTCAATTCAAAACACTTTAAAAACCTGAATACATACTTGAATTTGGAGTGGGTGAATCATTAGTTTCATTAACATTTCCTGATCCGGTAAAACAGAATCCAAATCTAGTTCTTGACATTTCACAGCCTAAAAATTATAATTAAAAAAATAACTAATTTAATACTTATTTTCTAATTTTTTTTTTTAAAGAATGATTTAATGACAGTCTTACCTTACTCAAAAACATAGCATAGTAACGATGTAGTGGCAAATGAAAAGTGACTTGGTTAGGTGCTGGCTGGAATAAACAAACAAAATCCACAAGTCAAAGAATGTTTTACAGAAGTTCCAAGAAGGTTTTAAAATGCTAAAACCATACTTTCACCTTGATTTAGCCCTATATTTTTTCATCAAAACTTAAAATTTTAGAAGATTCAGCTTTAAAATCACTGTAGATAAAATAATTCCATTTTTAGACACCTAAATGAAGTTCCTTGAAGGCAAAAATTGCATACAACTTGGAATCCTCTGAAACATCTAGAACAGAACAAGGGTGAGAAAGATTTCCCTTTACAGTAGGGCATTTGGGAATCTGCAAATGCATGCATACCAACCATAATGATAATAATAAGACAATAATTGAGCAAACAATCACTGAGCACTTATTATGTACCTATGCTAGGCACTTTATTCACATTACCTCATTTAAGCCTCACAAGAACCCTATGGGGACGGAACTATTAATATTCCCATTTTTATAAATAGGGAAATTCAAGCTTAGAAAACTTAAGTAACTTCCTAAAGGTAACAAGCAGTGAACTGACGAGCTAGCTTGTACTCTATTGTTATATTTACAGTGGTAACAGGCTCTTACCACAGTCCTAAACTAAGTGTAGGTGAAGGGCTTGCCGAGGTGCCTTGACAAGGAGGTGAGATGCTCCCCATATCAATGCTGAACACACGACCTCCATGAGAAAGCTTAGTACATTGAATGTCAACTATAATTTTATACATATATGTCATATATATATATATGTCATAAGATGTGGAATACAGCATAGAGAATAGAGTCAATGGAATTGTAATAGCTATATACGATGTCAGAGGGGTAGTAGATTGGGGGAGAGGGGTTATCACTTTGTGAGGGA